TCACTTCAGGGAGATGTTAAATCACTCGTCAGCGAGTTGTATTTCTCAGGACTTCTACAGTCCAGGGATGGCTCTGGAGGCCATGGTGGGGCGGGCAGGCTCCAGGCTAGGCTAAGCCCAGACTGGGGAAGGGGACACAGACTTTTAGTCCAGAGGGCATAATCCTGGGCTCTGCCACTCACCAGCTGTGTGACTCCGTGCATTGCTTCATGTGTGACCTACTTTGGAATAAGTTGTTCTTCAGAGTTTTCTACATTTTATGTTTACTTTTTCATTACATTTTACATCTGGTTCATGCAAATTAGAAATATTTTCCATTCAGTTATTCCTGACTTTTTCATAGACTCTTATTAATTTTCTTTTTTTGGTCAATTCTGTAATAATACTTCTTATTTTATTTTTTTAAGATCTTATTTATTAGAGAGAGAGAGTGAACTTGAGCAGAGGGAGAGGCAGAGGGAGTGGGAGATGGAGAAACAGGCTCCCCACTGAGCAGGGATCCTGATGCAGGGCTCGATCCCAGGACCCTGGGATCATGACCTGAGCCAAAGACACACACTTTACCGACTAAGCCACCCAGGTGCCCCTGTAATAATACCTTTTAGATCCATTTGTACTAAGTTAACGTTAATTCAGTTTCATTTGCCTTGAAAAACAAATCATGCTGTTCAATTACATAGTGGATTGACAGTGAAATAACTGAATTCGTGTCATTTCAGGAAAACACTTGGTGTTGCTGCGGACGCTGAACAGTTTATTTATTTTAAGATTTTATTTATTTATTTGAGAGAGAGAGAGACAGAGATAGCAAAAGAGAGCATGAACGGGAAGAAGAGAAGCAGGCTCTGTGCTGAGCAGGGAGCCCAATGTGGGATTCCATCCCAGGACCCTGGGATCATGACCTGAGCCGAAGGTAGACGCTCAGTCGACTGAGCCACCCAGCGCCCCCCAACATCGAACAGTTTAAATGGCTAACTTCACAAAGTTTTCTTCTATAATATTCATAGTCTAAGAGTTTCCTGATTGGCCTCTGTTACCTTTATTAGAAAGTTTGCTGTTTGAGTCGAATGGAAATCTTCTAAACTCCTAGGATCAGCCAAAGGGAAGGGGGGAGGGTAAAGCTGAGGATGAGGGGCTTAGAACCAGAGAGACCAGAGCCCCATGTAGCTCTCCAAATTCTGCTCAGGGCCTGCCACTGTGACTGCCTTTATTATGCTACCCAGGCTGCTGGCTGCAGAGAGCTGCCAAGGAGGTCTGGCCTCTCCTCTGCTCTCATACGCTCAACCCTCCTCCCTAAGAGGCTTGCCTGGCTCAGGCGGGGGCTGGGCTGCAGGGTTTCCACCCTTCTGCCCCTACCCTGTCCCAGACCTTCAGCCTCCGGGGATCCAGCTTCTGGCCACTGCTCCTAGGACTTGTCTCCCCTCCTCGCTGCGTCTGCAGTCGTGATGCTCCACGTCTGAAAGGGGTGCTCCACTGCGGGTCCTGGGGCCCTGCCAGAGGTTTCTGGAGATGCTGGTTGGCCCAGCCTCTTGGGGAAGAAGGGAAGATGCTAGGCTAAGGTAGTGACCCAGGGGTGGAGCCCAACCTGTTTATAGGATTGTGGCTCCTTGGATGTGGGCAGATTCACAGCCCCATCCCACTGGAATAGTTACTGCCAGCTGGCCAGGGAGCTGACATCTGGGCAGAAGCCGGTCCTGGAGTGGAGCCAGAAGGGTTGGTATGGAGAGACTGACAACGAGGGGACCCCCTGGCCACCCTCACCAGGTAACAGTGTCTCACTTGGGGCAGGGCCCGGGGCCAGGGTGCATTCTGAGAAGCTTGACGCAGCGCAAACCGAGGTGATCCTGGCCTCTGGGGAAGGCCAGGGTCCCAAAGCTAGGGGTCTCTGCCTAGGCAGAGGCCGAGGGTGGGAGGCAGAGGGTAAGAGAGTCCGTGCTTGGGGATGGAGAGTTAGGGGAGGGTGGATGAATGACCAATATCCATAGACATGAGGGCCTGTGTTCTCCTTAGAGCCTCTTACCCTCCTCCCCGCCAAAGCTCGCATGCCACGTCAGAGAACACAGTGGCTGTGTGTCACAGGACGACACCCCACCAGGCCCAGAGTTCGTCATTGCAGGGAGTGGACCTCCTGGAACTGGCGGGGACCAAGGAACCCCCTTGTGTGTCCCCAGAGCTTTGCAGGCCAAGTCCCCATCCGCTGCCAATTACTTCCTAGGCCAAGAGAGGAAGCTGCAACCAGGCCAAAAAGATCTACAAACTGCTAGCCCCACTCCTTCCACGTGCTTCCTCTCTGCCAGATTTCTCATCCTCTGCTGTGGACCAAGGCCAAGAGGGACTGGCTCTTCGGGTCTCCCCGGGTGCCCCAGGCAGGGGCCATGAAAGAGGCTAAGTGTGCCAAGCTCACCATCCTGAGGCATTTATCTCATTCTCAGACTTTGCCAGGCTTCTGGAGCCTTGGCCCTGAGACCCAGGCCCGAGTCAGATCCAGCCAAGTAGCCCCAGACTGGTGCTCCTGGAGAAGACTTGCCTGGCTCAAGCCAAGTACCCGGCCATCCTGGGAAATACAGAGAGGGAACCCTCCATTGAAGAACAACACCTCCTGCCCCAGCCCCTGTCAGCCTGAGGTATAGAGGAGCCCCCTCACCAAGGTGGACATTAGTGAAAACGCCCAGATGGCTGCCTGGGAAGACCCCAAGGCTGCAGGAGCAGGGCGGTGGAGGGGGCCTAGCTCTAGCTCCGTCTGCTCCTCCCATCAGGAGCTTGAGCCCCAGAACCCAGCTGTGGAGGTTTCTGATGTATCTGTGTTCATCCTCATCTCCCTGGAGAAGACTGGGCATCCTTTTCCTGCTACCCTCTGCCTGCTCTAGACACAGCCTAGGGGCAAAACTGAAGCCCAATGCGCCGTGACTCTGGGGGCTTGAGTCTGCCCACATGCCTGGAAAGCACATCGCCTCCAGCTGATGCTGTTGGGATTGGTTGAATCCCAGAGATCAGGCCCTTAACTCCCAGCCTTCAAGTTGGCTCCCAGGGCAGGCTCAGCAGTGGCCTCACCCAGCCTCGTTCCTGCTGGAACAGGGGACTGGAGCCTGCCCTGGCAGTAGGAGGTGGGCCGGCAGAGCAGGCCAGGCATCCAGGACTGGCTCTGGGACGTGCCTGCTGCATGATCCAGGAGCATCGGCTCAGCATGACTCAGGAGATACAGGGCCCGAGGCTGGGCCTGAAGTCTCCACTCCTCTCTCCAACCTCTCCTGCCACAGTGGGTTGCTTGGGGCCAGCAGGGGGAAAGGCAGCTTGCTCATTTTCTTCTTGCTGGTGAAGACCCCATGGTCTGGACCCCTGTATGGGGACTCCAGCCCCGTCAAACTTGCTTGGGTCACTTCCCCGGTGATGGGCAGGGGCCAGCCCTGAGCCTCTCCACAGGGAGGAGGCTGGAGGAGGCCCTGGGGTCCCTGCATAGGGAGAAACAGGGGCTGAGACTCGCAGCAGGGAGGTACTCCCGGGAGCCTACAGGAGCCTTCTCCTGCTGGAGAAGCCCTCCATAGCATTCAGGGTCAGTCATCAATTAAGGCAGTATTTCAGACAGGAGGACATTTCAACAGGGGAGGGGAAGACCCAATGCCCTCAGGAGAATCATATCAATTAGTTAGTTCAGTACCATATTGGTCTAAAACAAATCTAAGAAATTCTGTTTCGATATCCAGAGGGCAGTGGGGGAAAGTTGCATGCTTTTACAAAGGAGCCAAGTCCTGGGGAGGTAGAGCAGTACAGGGGATGTGAGCTTTGGCCTTGAAGACAGAAGGGCTTGAATCCTGCCTAGGTCGCCTGCTAACTCTGTGGCCTAGGCAAACTTTTCTAAGCCTCAATTCTCTCCTCTGTAAAATGGGAGGAAATGAGAGTACTATCTTAGGAGGTGTCGGGAGGATAAATCAAGTTGGAATACATAACCTGCTTAGTACAGCACCTAGAAATATAACAAGCACTTAATAAATAGTAATAAGACCAATTATCTAGCAACTGCTTACTTTTTTGCTAAGCATTCTACAGGCATTAACACATTTAGCCTCTATTAATTAGTCCCACTACTTATGAGGAAATGGAAGTACTGAGAGGTTTAGTGACTTGTCCAGGGTCACACAGCAAGTAAGCAGGGGACCAAGGTTTAGATCCAAGATATCCTGGCTGGGAGCCTGCCTTGCCCACTCCACTCGACCTCCCCGAGTAATGACCCATCATTGTATTTATTGTCACAGCCCATCCTATGGTGCTCTGTCTTGGTGATGGTTTTAGAGGTAATAAGAAATGGGGTTTCACCCTGGGAAAAATATCCTGCTAGGGGACAGTGGGCTTTCTGAGGTTGAGAGGCTCTTGATGACCAGAGAGAGAAATGGGCAACGATGCTTAAATTGGGCATGGTGACTGGCTGGAAAGGAGCAGGTGGGGACACCTCGTAGTAGCCCCGGTGGGCTCTAGAGCCACCCACAGGCTGTGGTCTCAGGGATGAGGGGAGTCTGGGCTGCCTCTGTCCTTCCCCTGTCTTGGTGTGCACACGGAAGCTCAGCTCTGTCCAAGGCCCCGGGAGCCCAGCCAGCACTTTCTCTGTGGTGGGCAGTGATGGATCTGGGCGCAGGGAGGAAATAGAGCCAGGTGTCTCAAAAGCCGTAACATCTCTGCCATTTATAAGCTCTGGCTTAAGGCCCCTAGAGTCAAAATGTTGCTGGCATCCCTGGAGTTAATCCCCAAGAAGGGAGAAACCAGTGTGCCCTGGGGGGAGGAGGGGCGGGGGGGGGGCAGAAATGTAGGAAGGTTGGGGTATCACATGTGCTCTTCCAGAAAGTTGACAGGAATGACAAAGACACTCAGCATGAAGGTGCAGGAGAGAGATGCGAGGACCCACAGGGCACCAGTCCTGAGTGGCTTTGCTGTGGCCTCATCATCCTTTAAATTTCCCTATGGGAATGGACAGTCTGCGGACACTGAGGCAACCCTCAGCAGACAGCACCTGTGCAGAGCCCAGACGGGTTCCTGGCAGGAGACTTCGGGGTCACAGGCACGGAGGGGACCGGTGACAGGAGGGCACAAAGCAGAAGAACTCTTGGGTTTCATCACAACACTGTTTCCCAGGACCCCGCAGGGCCGAATGTCGGTCCTGCAAGCCCAGTGCCGCCTCTGCCTCAGTTGGCGGGGGCTTACCATAAGAAACTGGTGCAGGGCACCCAGAAAGAGCAAACTATAGCTAGGCCTCAAGAAGAACAGAAACACAAGCACCCCACCCCGGGGTTCCAGGCAGTGGCAAGGACCTCAGCAGTAGGGATTTGAGGAGAGCCCCCTTGTGCCCTGTCCCCAGAAGGACTTGGCACACCCTATTTGCCTTCTGCTTTTCCTTCACCACCTCTGCTCCCTTTGCCCCCATGAGCCCGTGCCCACTCAGGTTCTGCTTCCTCCTCGCTGTGCTTGGCTGTGGGCTGATGTGGCCTCCCCAGGGTTTTAGTACATGTCCAGTGTGGTGACCATTCCTCGGTCCTCGTTTCCCTGTTGTCACCTCTACACTGTGCAATTCTGTCCCTGAAGGGGAGGGGGTCCCACAGATTCCACCCCCCGTTGGTCTGCCTGCCCTGACTGCTGCAGCCCAGGACTACGGCCCCGAGGACAGTGGTGGGCAAAGGCTGTTTGCCCCCAAATGCCTGGCAGCATCACTGAGCTTGTGAGGAGAAACCTCAGCACAGAGGGGTGGGGCTGGAGCCCGAGCAGGAGGGACAGAGCAGTCTGTTTTTCTCTCCAGGGGGAGGCCTCTGCCTGCTGGCAGCTCACTGTGCGGGTCCTGGAGGCACAGAACCTGGGCTGGACTGACCTGTGTGAGTAACTATTTCCGGGGCTCTAGGGGTGTAGAGATGACCAGGCCCTACGGGAAAGGCCCAGGTGAGAACTTGGGGGCTGGGCTGGGCTGCCCACAGTGGCCGCCAAGGTCATGGTAGGAACCTGGCGAGGCCCCTGGAGAGGAGTGTAAGGAATTCTCTCTTACCCTGTTCTCTTGACATTGCCAGTGAGTGAGGCAGACCCCTATGTGACCCTGCAGCTGCCAACCGTCCCTGGAACAAAGTTTAAGACCAAAACTATCACCAACACCAGTCATCCTGTATGGAATGAGACCTTCAGTTTCCTAATCCAGAGTCAGGTCAAGGTAAAGGCTGGGACCACCCACCTAAGGACCAGCTGTATCCTTCTTTCAGAGCACACCTTCCTCCAGGGCTCAGTCAGAGACACGGGGGAGGAGTGACTTTGTTCCCAGCCTGGGTGTGCAATGCGGGAGAGAACATGTGATCCACCATGTGGCTGTGAGCCTGACCTCTGGCAAGTTGCTGGTCCTCTCTAAGCCCATCTGTGGAATGGAGGCAGTTAAGAATCCCTTCCTGACGGAGCTGTTATGAGGTTAAATGAGATAATGCATGGAAGACTCATAACACAGCGCCTGGTACATACGGTGCCTTGGGGGACCCGCAAAGGGGGGGTGGTGTGCAATGGTGGGGAAATGCTGAAATAATTTTATTTTTTATAAAAATAAAAATTAGCTGGGGCAGATTAGGAACTTTGTCAGATTTCCTTTTAGTGCTTTTAAAAGTTTTACTATTATTTTTATTTTGAAGTAAAAAGTGTGGAGGCATAATAATCTTTTCCGACCCTGGGCATCAAGTAAAGGCTCAACAGGTATGGAGTACAGTGATGAGTAAATAATGTGCTACGTTGCTGTTCTCGGGTCCCTAGAATGTTCTGGAGTTAAATGTCTATGATGAAGACTCAATCCCGGAGGATGATGCCTGCTTCAAAGTTCTCTATGACGTCTCAGAAGTCGTCCCTGGGGAGCTGCTCCGGAAGACCTTCTCCGCTGGTCCCCAGGTGAGTGGGGAGTCCCACCCCTCTGCGCCCCACCCTTCAGCACTCCAGACCGAGGAAGTTACACAGCTTCTCCCTTCTGGAATGCTGCTGTGCTGATTGCGTTCACAGAAAGAGGGAAGCCCCTCCCAGAGATATTTACATTTTTAATAGGAAAGGAGAAGGCTTAACTAGACTGTTAACTAGACGGAAATCACTCAAAGCAGAGATTTTAGTCCACTCCGAGGAAGGTTTCTGGTGGTGGAGAACTTCCTATATCAATCAAAACCCAGCTCAGGGTAACTAACCCTTTGGGCAGTTGGGGGCTCCATCACTCCTGCTCACTGCTCTCTTGCGGTGCCCAAGGCCTGCTTTATGAAGGTCTCTGCTCCTTCTCCAGCAGGTGAAGGCTGAGGAATGGGAGGGCAGGGCTCTGGGGTCAGCTCCCCTTCAAGAGGAACAGGGGATGGGCCCTGGGCATCCTTAAGCCTCTTTTGGCTTGTGCTCCTCACCTCCTCCTTCAGCCCTGCCAAGGAGGGAGACCTGTTCCCTGCAGACTTTTCAGCTGTGGGTAACTTGGGCGGGCAGCCCGTCTTTTCCCCAATTCTCAATTTCTGCATCTGTAAAGTGGGAAGAATTGTAATACCGTGCCTCCCTGAAAGACTGCTCGAGATGTGACAATACAAGTTCAAAGAACTGTGTCAGCTGTGAAGATATGTGTAAATGTTGATGAGTTGCTCATCTTTGATTTCAGGGGCAGGGGGAGCTGGATGTGGAGTTCCTGCTGGAAAAAACGTGAGTAATCATCACACAGCCCAGGGAGTGTCCCAGGACCCAGGCTTTATTTAAGGAAATTGTCTTTGACCCAGATTCTCTGTCCCTTGTGTCCCCACCCCTGCCAGTTTGGGTTGGGGGGGTTCCTCTTAGAGGAATGAGGAGAGGAAGGTCACTGGCTCCTTGGCGCCACTCTCCCTGTCCTCACATTGCAGTCTTCAGAAGCACCTCCCTCACCCTGAATGGTATCCAGGACTTAGGGTCCCTTTGCATCACCCAGGGAGGCCCCAAGGGGGCTGGAGGCCGTGCTGTGAGGGGGCAGCTCAGTGCAGGGAGCGTTTGCCTTTGTCAGGCTGAGCTCCAGATGTTGTGATTTTTCCAGGTCAGACTGTCCAGAAAACCTCATCACCAACGGCGTCCTTGTGGTAACCACCCTCCCCAGGCTTGTAAAGGGGAGCTGAGGGAGGGGCCCCAGAGCCGACACTGAGGTTGGGGGGTGCCGAAGGGACAGGCAGGGACAGGGCACTGTGGTAAGACCACTTCTGGCCTACCAGCTGGGTGGTCACCGGGGGCGGTGGTCAGGGGCTGGGGGCTGGGAGCTGGGAGGGGCCGGGGCCTTAGGGGAACATGGAGAGAGGGAGGCCGAGGCTCTGCTGGGGGGAGGTTCTGGCCCAAGGCTGGCGGCTGAGGGAGTGGGGGGGAATCGCGGGTGCTCCTGACAGTGTTTCATCCCCTGTGATGGACTGCTAGTTCTTAGCCCCGGAGGGTGGTGGGCAAGTCACGCGAGCCAGGTCCCACTGGGGTGTTAGGACTGCAGCAGCAGAGGCTCGGAAGGAGTTTCCAGTGCGCTGCGCTTCCAACCTGGGGGCGCTGGGGTAGAGTCAGGGGGTCAGTCGGCTCCTCCTTGAGCCGGTGGAGAGTTGTGGTCAGCTCTTCGAAGACAGAGCAAGCTCACAAAGCTGCAGTGGTCAGGAACGTGGTAAACAAGGCCCGAGAAGCTTTCCACTCAAAGGCTGCAGGCCAGCAACGCAGGCATGACCGGGGAGCAGGGCCGGGCCTAGTGTGAGGGAAGGCTGTTAGAGCCCCAGACTGAAGGAGGCCTCTACCCTCAGGGTCGTACAAGGGCCTGCTTCATGGGCTAGTATTACTTTTACAAATGCACGTTAAAATCATCATGCCTACGGCAGCTGCTTTTTATCTGAGGGCATGGAGACCAGTGGTGGGAGGCTAAACTCAGCCTGTGTGCGGGAGTCAGTCAGGAGTTGGGTGGACTGCGGGCGTCAGATGACATGCCTTACAGAGAATGCAGCGGGCTCCTTTGGCAAGCTGGTCAACTGGAGGACAGCCGGGAGATCATTCCATCATCCTGTAGACCAGTGGTTTGCATACTACTGTTTGGGAGCCGTTGTGGTAGGAAGGCACTCTCAGGCTGAGCCCACAGAGAAACACAGAGAAGAAAGAACGGTGCCTGAGGGCCGGGCGGCCTTCAGAGATCCCCCAAGTTTGGCAAATCTTTGAAAGCTGGGGGTGTGCACGGGGTGGAGGCGGGGCTCACCCAGCTGCTCCAGAACACCCAACTCAGCAGTCCTAGCAGATCAGAGGAAGGGGGTGGCCCTCCAATCCCACGCTGGACCCCGCTTCCTGTTCTGTGTGTGGTGGATTTGGATCCCTGGGGCTCAGAGGGTGAAGTTGAGGGGACCTCAGCTTCCCCTGCCGAGCCCCCGGCCCACGATGTGGTCTGCCCCAGGCCCGAGAGCTGTCCTGCCTGGATGTCTGTCTGGACAGCGCCGGGAGCGCGGCCACAGTCACAGGTGAGGCCTGCTCTCTGCTAGATGGGGTGGCTGGGACACCTGTGCGGGGCGGCAGGCGAGCAGCCGAGCAGAGCCTCTTTCTTACTCACACAGCACGAGGGTGACAGGTCTGTGGGCTCAAGGGTCCCCCTGACCTGAGAGAGGGTGTGTTGCAGGAGGTGGGAGTCCCATGGGGGCTGGGGAGGGCGCTCTCCAGAATCCTGTCTACCGTGGTCCAAACTCCCAGGTCTTGACCATGCCCGAGCAATACTGCCAGTTTCCTGGGGTCCCTGCTCGGATTCCTGGCTCTTGTTGCCCTTGTGCTAATCTGCCCACTCTCCGCCTAGATCAGGACAAGCTGGAGCTGGAGCTGGAGCTGAAGGGGTCCTATGAAGACACACAGACATCTGCTCTGGGCCCAGCCTCTGCCTTCCGCTTTCATTACATGGCAGCCCAAGAGGCCAACCTGAGCGCGCATCTGAGGGTGGGTCTTGGCTTTGGAGCTCTCCCCGCCGTGGGCGCGGGCCCCTCTCAGGCCAACGCCAGGCCCCCGTGGGCTCGCCAGCCTCCCCCAGTGAAGCACCAAGCCCTTGGCAGACAGGGAGAACTGCCAGGAGCCTGGCGTGGGCCCGGGGACTGCCCTGCCTTGTCAGACTTGGTTTGAACCTTTCAATGGCGCCTGCATCAATACTCTTAGAAGAAATTCCCAGATCGGTGCCTCTAAGGCCCTGCACGGCCTGGCCCTTGCCCACCTCTGCTGCCTCACTTTGTTCCATGCTCCCCCTCTTTCATGATGCCCCAGCCATATTTATCTCTTCCTGCTTTCCCAACACGCCAAGGGCCTTCTGTGTTCTCCTCTGGTTCCTTTCAAGGCTGCTGCCTCCTTCTCTTCTTCCTCTTTTAGATCTCAGCTCAAAGGGCCCCTGTTGACTCCCCATCTTAAATAGACCCCACACACCCCACCTTTCGTTATTGTATCATATCACCCTGCTCATTTCCTTTACAACACTTTTTTCCCTTTGTAGCATTTGCTAACATCCGTTCACTACCTATTTTGTGATAAATTCAGATACATAATTCAGTTAGAACAAAAAATATCAGCAAGTATTTTAATAATTAGTAATTATAAGTATTATAATAACTGTAAATATTGTGCTTATTTTTACATTATCAGAGAGGGACTGTGTCTGTCTGGATCACTGTCTAGATACTCAGTAAGGTTTGGTTGAATGAGTATTTCCCTCCAGAGCTCTGCAAGCAATGGCTGGAATTCAGACAAGTCAGCTGGGCACCTCACTGTGCCCCTGAGGTCCTTGGCTGTGGGAAAGGAAGTGACCATTAACATTCCTGCCACAAATGTAAGTGGCCTCGACTGGATGGGAAGTGCCAGTGAGAATAAAGATGGGGCCCCCAGGGGGTACCCACATTCCCCTGAGGGTTGAGGATATTCTAGTCCAGACTCTTGCTTTGATTTCAGACCCCAAAAGTGAAGCTGCAGCTCAAGACTGAGGGCTGGTAAGAGACATTCATATCGTGGGGGATGGCGTGGGGTGGTCGTGAGGCAGGGAGTGCTGTGGAAAGGGTGGCCCCTGGGGTTGGGAGCAGGGAGGTAATCTGGCAGCTGTCAGGGGCTTGGCCAGCCAGTGGCTGAGCTATGCAGTGCCCCTGACCTGTGGATCCTCTACTGCCCCAGCCCTGAGGAGCTGGCTGTGCACCTGGGCTTCGATCTATGCGCAGAGGAGAAAGCCTTCCTGAGCAGGAGGAAGCAAGTGGTGGCTAAGGCTCTCAAGCAGGCCCTGCAGCTGGACAGAGACCTACAGGAGGATGAGGTTTGGGGGTACTGGGGAATGTGGGTACAATACCTTGGACTGCCTTAAGGAAGTACCTGATTCCGCTGCCCTCTCCAGACGCTCCAGTCGCAGAGATGGGAGTGGCTGTGTGGGGGGTGGGGGTGAGCTTTGGGGTTCTCACTCCTTTTCAGGCCCTGTCCAGGACCAAGAGCTGTTACTTCCTGGGGTAGGGGCTGGGTGCTAGGTCTAACCCCGACTCCATCAGGCCCTGGCCCCGAGGTCCCTTCCCCACATCCTGGTCCTGGTTAAGCCAGCCTATGTCTGTGTCGGTCCAGGTCCCTGTTGTGGGCATCATGGCCACAGGAGGAGGTGCCCGGGCCATGACCTCTCTCTATGGCCACCTGTTGGCCCTGCAGAAGCTAGGCCTCCTGGACTGTGTGACCTACTTCAGCGGCATCTCGGGCTCTACGTGGTGAGGGCCATAGGGACTGGAACAGCAGAGATGATCAGGTCCCAAAGGGGAATGGAGTAGACACCGGGGAACCCCTCTATGTGTGGAAGCCAAGTGGGTCTGAGCAGTATAGTCTGGTATGTGCCAGGTGGCTTTCTCAGAAGGGAGGAAGTAGATATTACAGAGGTCCTCCTGTGAGAGAGGCATTGGGGGACACCATTCCATGCTACTGGAGAGGCCCAAGGCAGCTGGTTCAGGAGGAGCTGGGGTCTGAGTCTCTGCCTCACCACTTACTGGGCAACTGATTTCCTCTGATTCTCAGTTGACTCATCTCCAGAACGGGGGTAATAGTAGTACTTATCCCACAGGATTGTCCTGGGGCAGCCCAAGTAAAACACTTACCTTGTCTGACATGTACCAGGAACTCCAATTCGGTAGCTCTTTTTTCTTTAAACATTATTATCTCATTTAAATCCTTGTAACACTCTCTAGGGTAGTTTCTTTTGCTATCCCTATAGTATAGATGGAGAAATTTAGATGAAGAGATACTATCTTACCTCTTACCTGAAGACAACATTGCCTCCCTATAACCCCACCCTGCCTATGATGAGGTGGGACTTTTCACTGTTAGAGATTTGTTCCTTTGAGTCTTATTGAAATGTGACTTTAAGGAGTAAAAGGAGAGTAAACTCAGAGGACTTTAGGTGACAGCTGTTGACAAGCAGAGTCTTAAAGGCTTCAGGACAGGCCCATGAAGATGGGTGTAGAGTCTAGATCTGTTCCGTACAATGCAGTAGCCACTAGTCACATGTGGTTATCGACCACTTGAAATGTGGCTAGTCCGAATTGAAATGGGTTATATAGATAAAATACACAGGGAATTTCGAAGACTTAGCTAGAAAAAATATAAATTTATGTTAATTTTTTACATTGATTACATGTTGAAATGAGAATTTTTAGATATACTGAATTAAGACAATACTATTAAAATTAAATTTTAAGGGGCGCCTGGGTGGCTCCGTTGTTAAGCATCTTCCTTCAGCTCAGGTCATGGTCCCAGGGTCCTGGGATGGAGCCCAACATCAGGCTCCCTGCTCAGCGGGAAGCCTGCTTCTCCCTCTCCCGCTCCCCTGCTTGTGTTTCCTCTCTCGCTGTGTCTCTCTCTGTCAAATAAATAAAATCTTTAAAAAATTTTTTTATTGCCCTCTTCTTACTTTTCCAAAATGTGGTTCCTAGGAAATTTCAAATTACATCTGTGGCTCACATTATATTTATATTGGATAGGGCTGATCTGAAAGAAAACCCCGAGACACATTTTCCAGATGGGCAGGGCCTTGGCTGCAGGATCACCACATTGGGAGAAGTGGGAGGGTGGGAAGGAGATGTTGCAGCGAGCCAAGGTGGGCCTCCGCCCCCCACCATACTGTCCCTTTATTCTCCCAGGGCAATGGCCCACCTCTACGGGGACCCTGAGTGGTCACAGAAGGACCTCGAAGGACCCATCAAATACGCCAGGGAGCACCTGGTCAAGAGCAAGATGGAGGCCTTCTCCCCAGAGCGCCTTGCGAGCTACCACCAAGAGCTGGAGCTGCGGGCCAAACAGGGCCACCCCACGACTTTTGTGGACCTGTGGGCTCTCGTGCTGGAGTTCATGCTGCACGGCCAGGTAGGGCACCAATGCTGGCAAGGCGCAACGTGCGTGCACCTGCAGCGCTGGGGCAGCCTCGCAGTTAGCTACTGCGCATGCGCATTTCCTACAGGGTGAGGGGGGCTGGGATCTGTGGGGAGAGGGCACGGGGATCGCAGTGTCTCAGTGTCTACTGTACTTTGGGATGCTGCCCTTTTGAGTCAGGCTATTTTTCAGTTCTTTGCCATGAAACAGAGATTTCTATATCTCTCAAGAGCTTAGGGACGAGTCAATGCCAAAGTCAGTTAAGCAAACAAAACTTTCACATTATGTTTAAGTGTCAGATTGCTCGAATAATTTTTATTTTATTAATACTGCAATATAGAATGTCTTCTTCTTCTATATCTTCATGGTAGTGTTAAAAGCACAGACTCTGGAGCCAGATTCCCCAGGTTTAATCTCAGTGCCTCTTACTAGCTATGTGTTCTTTCGCCAGTTACTGATCTCTCCGCGCCTCGGTTTTCTCATCTGTTCAGTGGGGACGATTGAGAGTAGTACTTACCTCACAGGCTTGTTGTGAACACTCAGTGGTGCTTTGGCATAGAGTTAGCATTGTTAGCTATTATATTTCTTTCTTTTTTTAGAGATTTTATTTTATTTATTTGAGAGAGAGAGAGATAGCAAGAGAGAACACAAGCACGGGGGGAGAAGAAGAAGTTGGCTCCCGGCTGAGCAGGGAGCCTGGGATCATGACCTGAGCGGAAGGCAGAGGCTTAACCGACTGAGCCACCCAGGTGCCCCAGCTATTATATTTCTTTACTGTTTATTGTAATGCCATGAAGACCAAACTGAGCAGATACACTTTTTATAACTTGCTTCTTTAAGGAAAGTTTAGTAAGTCCACTGTTAAATCTTACATTAACTGATACAATTATTAAAATCAGTTATTTTTTCCCACTATTGTTTTACCACAGATAATTATCTGAACATTTCTTTTGAAGCATTTGAAACGACTAAAACACACAAAAAAGTATCTTTAACATTCATAATAAAAAAGTAAACTATCAAATATATTAGCAGAGGAAGGATTCTTACCTTTCTTATCTTTGGGTATCAGGAGTTTGACCAAGAAAGATTATCATGTAAACTAACCAAAAATGAATTTGCTTTGGATTTTTTCCTTTAAATGTTATTCTTGCTGGTAAGAACAATGCTACGTGGAAATTACCAACCATTCTTATTTTTTATGTATTAGTTTACAAAAATAATATTTATCATTAAATATTATAATAATCTTCAGACCTAAGAAAATGCATAAAGCATAAAGAATAATGTAATGAATATGCACAATCTCACCAACCAGGCTAAGAAATAGAATGTTACAGAAAGAATTGAAGCTCCCCTGTGGATGCCTCCCCAGTCCCATATCATCACATGCATATCTTCAGTCTGTATACATGATTGTATCATGTAATACATAACATATAATTACATAACATACTTTATTTACCTCTGTTATATATTTTATTGTATATACCTTTTATTATACATCCTTAAGAAAAATACAATGTTACTTGCACAGATGGTTTCAAACAAGTCTCCTTGTGCACAAATGTTAGAGATTCTCTGAGCCTCCAAGATACATACCCAGGAGTGGGATTGTTAGGCAGCTGGGGACTTGTATCTTCAGCTTTCCTGCCTATTGCCAAATCATTCTCCAAAAAGGTTTCATTAATTCACACTCCCACCATCAGTGTATCATCGTTTCTTTTTCTCTACATGCTCTTCAGACTTTTAGTTTTTTGTTCATTTTATGGGTGTCATACAAAATTTTATTGTGGCTTTCCATTTCCTTGATTTTTAGTGAGACTGATCTTATTTTCAAGTATATTTGTCATTGGGACTTCCTCTTCCATGGATTACCTACTCAAGTCCTTTTCCATTTTTCTGTTAATTCATCTTTAATATTATTTTGTGGGAGCTCCTTATGGATTCTGGATATTAATCCTTTATGAGTTCCACTAGATTTTGATGCATAATTTTAATATAACCTGGTGTATCATTCTTTTCCTTTATGGTCTGTGCTTTGAGAGTCTCCCTAGAGAAATCTTTCCCTCTCCTAAAGTTATAAAATATCGTCCTATGTATCCTTATAAAAGTTTTAAAGATTTGTTTTTCACAATTAGGAATTTAATCTTTAATATATCTTCAGGGATGTGAACACAAACCCTGTTTTATTTTTTTTTCCATATGGATTGCAAACTTTCCGAATATCACTTATACCTTTTTCTCCACAAATCTGCATTACTACTTGTGTCCTGTGTCAGCTTTCATATATTCATGGGACACTTCCTGAGCTCTCTTCCATTCCAATGGGGCTGATTCTCTAATATGTGCCAAGACTGCACTGGTTTAGAGACTCTACGGTGGTAATGCATGCTGGTATCTGATAGGGCAGGTTTACCCCCATTCACCACCTTGGTTTTTCTCAGAATTACCCTGGCTCCTTTTGGCCCTTTGCTCTTCTATATGTGTAATAGAATCAGCTAGTTATGTTTCATGGGAAATGTTAGCATTTTTATTGAGAGGTGCCTGGGTGGCTCAATTGGTGAAGCATCAGACTCTTGGTTTCAGCTCAGGTCATGATCTCAGGGTCCTAGGATGGAGCCCCATGTGGGGCTCCCTGCTCAGTGAGGAGTCGGCTTATCTTCCTCTCTCTCTGCCCCTCCCCTCCATGCGCATGCGCGCTCTCTCAAATAAATAAATAAATCTTTTTTAAAAAAAGAATTTTTATTGAAATGGTATTTAATTTATAAAACCAATGTAACTACTTGAAGTATTTTTACTTTATTAATATATCCTATGTATTCTTTAGATCTGTATTTTAAGTTCATGTTCAGTTGTGAGGGTATTGTGTTTTATTAATGACTGTTCTGCCTGGTAGTGACAATTAATTACTGTAGAGTTGGGAGAAGCTTGTTTTAACAGTTTACTTTATGAGGTGCTAAAAAATGCAGTTTGATCCAAAGCTATAAAGAAGACTTTTATTTAATTACCATTTGATCCTTCAGTAATGACTTAATGCATGGTATTATCTACAAGGTTTAGAGTCTTTTTTTAAAAGACAAACTTAATAAGGTTTAGGGTGTTTTTGGTTCAGAAGAAATCTTGTGGTATTACTGAACAAACAATGCATCCTTAAAAATGAGCACCCATGTGGTTTTAAAAATTTTGTCTCAATATTAAAGCTTCTCAAATATTCTTTTTTTTTAGTTATTATGCTTTATCTCTTAAAGCTAACATTCATTATATGCTTTTTAAAATAATTCTTTAATCAGACAAATTTTTTTTTAAGATTTTATTTATTTATTTGAGACAGAGAGAATGAGAGAGAGCACATGAGAGGGGGGAGGGTCAGAGGGAGAAGCAGACTCCCTGCCGAGCAGGGAGCCCGATGCGGGACTCGATCCAGGGACTCCAGGATCATGACCTGAGCCGAAGGCAGTCGCTTAACCAACTGAGCCACCCAGGCGCCCTAATCAGACAAATTTAGTGTGTATTTCAAATTCAAGTTTTTGGGTAAAAGCATTTATTATCTCTATTTTATGCTAATGTACAACTCCAAAAGTCATTTTAAATGTCAGAAAATATAACTCTATAAGAAATAACAATTTCATTAATATTATTATTACAGAAATAGTGTACCCTGAACTTTATACAGAACTTTATTAGTCTACACACTTCTATAATATTGCTTCAGTTTTTGTTAAAAGAAAAAGTGCTTGTAAAATATACCAGTTATAATCTGGTATATTAAAACTATGTCTTTCAAACTTTTTTCTTTAATCTTTTGCTGACAAGCACTGAACTGCTTAGAAGCTGCTCACCACTCCTCAGGAGGAAACTCATAGCTTTTCTCTTGCCTTTTCCTGAGTTAAGAAGGTCTTACATGTTTTTCTTCACTTCTGGCCAAAAAGGTTTTGCCATTAGTACCCCCTGCCCATACAGTGCCTAGACCATGTCAACATATGGTCAACACCACACCCAGCCCCCACACCTCAAGGGGACCCTTGAGTCATCATCAGAGGCGTGCTCTGCAGGGTTGGGGATGCTCATTTGGAAACGGGGGGCCTGGAGATCCAGAGGCCTGCCACCACTGGTGAGCTATTAAAAGGAAAAAGAATACTGGGTATTTCAGTAGATGGAGGGATGTGCTGACCCTTTTCCCCCAGGTCAGAAATGGTGCATCTGGAGTAAAAGATCACATTTCCCCTCATCTTACATGTCCAAAGAGCAGGCAAACAGGATTCCTGAATAAAAAGACTTTGAGAAGGGAAATCGCAGTTATTAATCAAGGTCCGCCCCACTTCAGTATGTACATCCACTCACACCTGCAGGACTGACTTATAGCTATGATGCATAGCGCCAGGGGCTTGAGCCACATTGGGGGATTTTTCCTGTGGGTTCCCTATAACTCAGGTCCTATAGGGTACCCCTGCGGAACTAGGGGGAAAGATGACCCATCAGTGACAGAGGTCTTTGGGAGGAAGAAGTACACTGGGGCCTTGCCACGGGTGTGGGAGGGGGACTCCTCATTGGAAAGGTGGGGCTAGAATCCTGGGACACACACCTGGCTGATCATCAGAATTACCTGGGGAGATTGAAGAAACAGATTCCTCAGTGAGAATCTGCTGATTCTCAGAAGTAACCTATTAATCTATTTAGCACATCCTCTAGGTAAATCAGATGATAAGGGCGGATTGGGCGGTCTGGGAACCCCTAGGTCTAGCTGCTGAGTGAGGTGCCTTCCAGTTCAGAGAGCCCGAGAGAGGGATTGTGCATCTGTGGTACACGTCCCACCCCGTCAGAAGCAGCCACGGCCTGTGGCGGGCTCCTTCCCAAGGGCGGCTCCAGGCAGCCACCACCATTAACCTTGCTGACGCTGGACAGGAACCTTATTGGCATCTTTGGTCCGGGATACAACGAGACCTTTCTGTGCCCCTAGAACTCTGGGAGGCTCTCCCAAAAGGCAAGCCATAGTCCCTGCCATCAAGGCAGAACTTGGTGTTCCATTGACGAGAAAATTGGAAACACAGGCAAGAATAAACAATGGGGTACAACATCATACTGTGCAAAGCAGGAAAGAGGGGGGCAGGTAAGGGGGAGGCAAGGATGCCCGGAAAGCATTCTGGAGGGGCCGAGAATTGGACTGCATTCGTGTGAATCTAGAAGAGGCAGCCCATCCCCTGACAGAGCTTATGGTGTATACTAAAATGGGATTCCTGTGTCCTTTCTGGAAAGCAGTGTGTGTGTGTGTGTGTGTGTGTCTTTGTGTCTGTGCATCAGGGTCCACATCCCCTCCACCCTTCAACCCATAAAGATGGGGCCAAAGACCGCAGGAGCAGAGGTGGGGTGTCACTATTGACACCATAGTCCTTGTGAACGGCATTCTCTTGAGATATGCAGTGCACAACCTCCATAGCCCTCCATGGCAACCCTGCATCTGGTCAGAATATGGGGGTGGGAGTGGGAACTGGATGAGTGCACTCACCCATGCCACCCAAATTCCAGTGGAGAGCTGCCTCACCCTCAGGCTGTGCCCCTCCTCCACCCAGTCCTGGTGGAGCTGCTGCCTCTAGGGCGCTTCCAACCACACCTAGGCCCTCATGCCTCCCACCGCAGGTGATGGATCAGAAGCTGTCGGAACAGAGAGCTGCACTGGAGCAGGGCCAGAACCCTCTACCCCTCTACTTGAGCCTCAATGTCAAAGAGAACAATCTGGAGACCCTCGACTTCAAGGGTACAGTCTTCAGCCCCGTTCACGTAACCCTCCAACGCACACACACACCTCCTGTGCACCCTGCGGGTCTTCAGAGAATTGAAACAGGAAACTCCTACACAGATTGCTCAGCCTTCTGGAAGGGAGGCGGTTCTGATGAGCTGATGAGCCAGACAGCAGAGTTCATTGTCCTGGTGGTGGAGGTGGTGGGGATGTGGTCAAGGGGCTGGATGGAGGGAGTCAGCCAGGCAGGGAGAAGGGTGGGGCTTACTGGGGGGCAGCATCTTTGGCCCCTGTCAGAGCTGGGGCTCCCCCAGCCCACTCTCCTTTCATTCCCGCCTCTCACTCCTGTTCCCATAGAGTGGGTGGAGTTTTCCCCCTACGAGGTGGGGTTCCTGAAGTATGGAGCCTTCGTCCCTAGCGAGCTCTTCGGCTCTGAGTTCTTCATGGGGCGGCTGATGAGGAGGCTCCCTGAGTCCCGGATCTGCTTTCTGGAAGGTGAGTGGTGGTTACTCCGAAGATTCTGGCCGGTCCTGGGCCAGGCCTCCCTGACTGGACATGATTCCTGTAGCCGGGTCTGGCAGAGCCCCTGGGGTGGGGCGCCACCGGGGGGGGGGCTGTGGGGAAGAGCCACTGTCCAAGCAGCCCACCTGCCTCCCATTTTCCATCCCCGCCCTCCGCGTGATGGGAGGCCGAGGCTGACTTTTGTGGGGGCTTGGCCTTCAGGTATCTGGAGCAACATTTTCTCCCTGAACTTGCTGGATGTCTGGTATGACCTCCTCAGCTCTGATGACACCCGGAAGCAGCACATCAAGGACAAGATCAGGAACGTGGGTAAGAAGCCGGGCTGGGAGGGGAGCCTGGGATGAGCGCCTTCCTCTTCAGATGCTTGCAGGAGGGGCACTCTCCGAGGGGAAGCAGGGCCAGGCATTTCCAGGCCTCTCACTGGACCAAGGTCTGCTTCTCTGAGCCCAGAGGAATCTCCTGCCTCCTTGAGGACCTCCTCACGGCTGGAGGCCTCATGGCTGCAGCCCGGGACGGCCCTGGCCAAGGCGTTTAAGGGCTTGCTGACAGGCAGGCCGCTCCACCAGCACAGCTGCAACTTCCTCCGGGGCCTCCAGCTGCACAGGGGCTACAACAGCCAGAAAGACTTCTCGACCTGGGCAGGTAAGGGCCCCCGCCGTGTCTCCGCAGGGAGCAAGCTTGGGCTCCCGGGGGGGACGTGGACCGTGGTTAGGACTGGCAGAGGACTTGGGGGGCGGGTCACAGCATCCCCTTCTGGGGTTGGCCTGCAGAGGTCTTGGGAAGGGCTGGGGTGGCGTGTGCCTACAGAGAGTGACGCCAGAGGACAGAAGGGGACATGGAGGCAAATGCAGTGTGAAGGGTAGAAGACATGTGGCAGAGTGGCTGTCCTCTGACTCTTACCTGCCTCCCCCATCAGACTGCCAGCTAGACTCCACCGCTAGCCAGCTGACCCCTCAGGAGCCCCGGCTCTGCCTGGTAGATGCCGGCTACTTCCTCAACACCAGCTGTCCCTCCATGTTCCGGCCAGGCCGCAGGCTGGACCTCATTCTCTCCTTCGACTACTCCCTACCCTCACCCTTTGAGGTGCTTCTCATTGCCCCATGGAAACCCCAGACACCCTGCAGCCAGGCCATGCTCCAGGGGCCACTGACCCTGACCTCCTGGGTCCCCAAGGGGAGGGAAGGGTGACAGGCTCTGACTCACAGACTCCTGCCAGGGCCCTTGGTTGGGAAGGGCTGTGGAGGTGCTGGGGCCCTGGGCTCCCAGGACAGGTGGACAGGGAAGAAGCTCGCTGCGCCCACCCCAAGAAGAGCAGCTAGATGAAGGTGGAAGGAGACCCTGGCCTGTCCACATCCATCCCCTCAGGGCCTCCCTGGGCACTCAGGAGCAGGGCGGGCTGGGGGCAGGAATAGGGCCCTGGTACACAAGTGGGTCCCCTACTGAGGTCTCCAGGCTCTGGGATTTGCATAACCTGCAACAGAATCCCAAATGGAAGCAGGGGTGCTAGGTCTGTGCCTCCCCTGAAGATTAACCAAACAACATGGCAGACTGCTGGAATCCTTTGCCTCCCTCCGAGGAGACACCATGTATCTTAACTGGACCACACAGAGGCCAGGACCAGGTTGTCCTGACACTGAGCAATCAGTTGGGCTGGGGCTCTAGCATTTTCTAGACCACTGACCTGAGACGACCAGGAAGTAGCCGGTTCTCTCTGGGCCCCCCTCCCCCCAACCAGGTGCTGCAGCAGACTGAGATGTACTGCCGGGCCCGGGGACTGCCATTCCCTCGAGTGGAGCCCAGCCCTCAGGACCAACGCCAGCTGACAGAGTGCCACCTCTTCTCAGACCCCTCCTGCCCCGATGCCCCGGTCCTGCTGCACTTCCCGCTGGTCAACGCCTCCTTCAGGGACCACTCAGCCCCAGGTAAGGCATCCCCTCCCTTCCTCACGGCCCGGCAGCCTGACCCTCAGAGGCACTGCCTGCGTCCTTCCCAGTGCTCCCGCGGCCGGCGGAGGGAGGGGGTCCTCAGGCCCTGCTCTGAACACAGCAGTGTGCTGGTCTCTGTGGGGATGCCACATCCCTGCAGGGGCTCTCTGCTAGCAAAGTCACCGTGCTGTTGTCCTGTCATGCCCCCAGGCTCCTATGGCCCCCGCCGTCCCCAGCTGCACCTGGGCTCTTCTGCTCTCCTGTTCTGGGGTGGTATGTGGGAATCCCTGCTTCCAGAGGCCTTCCTGCACTGTCCCCGTCTGCAGCCGTCTCCACCAATGCCTGTTTGGGCACCACGTTGTTGGAGGCCTAGGCAGCCAGGACGATGAGGCCCCGGGCCCCGGGCTCTCAGATTTCTCCTGACACTACTTGGGATTTCAGTTGGCTTCTCCCCTCCCACCCCAGCCCAGCCTGTGGTCTTTTCTCGGGAAGGTGGGCCTCTACTCTGGGGTCCCTGAAATGTAAACCCTCATCACATGCCTTCCAATCCTTCTCTTCCGCCAACTGGTCAGCCCTTTCTGGTGGGGAAGCCTCACTTCTGCTTTTGTCTGTTATTCCTGGCTTTCTGGTTCCCGCTCTAATTCCAAACCTTCCAGCTTTACCCTTAACAGGCTCAGCCCCCATCTTAGAATTCTCTCTTTCTCTGTCTCAACGAAGACTGGTTCTTAAAAAGCAAAAATCCCTTTGGTTTTCAGACTCTTGTTTCCATCATGTGTTTTAAGAATCCTTCACTAAGCTGACTGACTGTGGTCCAGCTGTTTCCATCTTGACCCTGAAGGTGAAACAGAGAGACTGTCGGGTTGCCCCCAAAGTGGGAGTGCATTGCCACAAGGAAATGTGGGGAGCAGCAAACCCTTCATATCTCAAAATCGTACCCTAATGTCTGCATTTCTATTTCTGGGCAAAGGACACAGAGGGCTGGGAGGAAAGTGAGGAGCAGCCCATCCCTGTGCCCAGCCACAAGGCTTCCTTCTGCCCAGCTCTGGAGGCCTCTGGGTCCTGCTCCTAACCCCTCTCACCCCTGGGCAGGTGTCCGGCGCAGCCCTGCAGAGCTCCCAGCTGGCCAGGTGGATCTCACTGGGACCACCTCACCCTACTCCCTGTTCAACATGACCTACAAGGAGGAAGACTTTGACCGCCTGCTGCAGCTTAGTGACTATAACATACGGAACAGCCAGAGCGTCATTCTGCAGGCCTTGAGAACTGCCGTGAAGCACCGGGCCCTGGGGGCCAGGCCTCCAGCAGCACAGAAGTGAGGCTGCTCAGGGACCCCAGCACTCTGACGACCCTCTGCGGGCTGGGGGCTTAACCCAAGCTCAGCTAGGCATGGCCACAGCCCTCGCTGGGCTGGGGTTCCCGGGCTGTCCAGGCCTGGGCCTCCTCTGCAGCGGGTCTCACGGCCCCCCAAGTTCTCCCTCACCTTCATCACTGGCTTGAGAGGAGCTGAAAGTAAACTCCTCGCCAGACCAAAGTGCAGCATAGCTGGTCCGACCAGACAAATGTTCACATGTGACGACTTTCATGCCAAGCCGAACGGATTTGGGGTACCAGCTACAGATGTCAGACCAGGGGTGGGGACAGGCAGGGCAGGGTCCTGACTGAGAGGTGGCTCCAGGCATCAGGAATCACACTGTGTCCTGAGAGTCTCCTCTTCGACTCCTCCTCCTCTTTCTCACTCTTCTTTTATACTATCTTCAAGCAACCTTAGTGACATATAATCCACATACCATATAATTCATCCTTCTAGGGAGTACGATTTGATGGCTTTTACTTTGTATTCACAGAGTTGTGTAAGCCTCCCTACAGTCATTTTGAGAAGATTTTCATCACCCACAAAAGAAACCCCTCACCCCTTAGCTGTCAACCTCAACCCTCCCTCCCCAGCCCTAGGCAACCACTAATCTACTTTCTGTTTCTATAGATTTGCTTATTGTGGACATTTCCTATACATGGAATCATACAATATGTGGCCTTTTGTGTCTGGCTCCCTTCACTCAGCATGATGCATGCAAGGGTCATCCACGTGGGAACGGGCATCAATGCCTCATCCCTTCCTATGGCTGAATAAAATTCCCACACTTTACCTGATGGTCATTGGGTAACGGACGCTTGGGTTGTTTCCAATCTTTGGCTGTTCTGAATAAGGCTGCTATGAACAATCATGTACAAGTCTATATGTGGACAATGGTTTCCATTCTTTTGCATGTCTACCTAGGAGTGCACTTGCTGGATTATAATGTAATCCTCTGCTTCACCTTTTGAGGACCTGCCAGCCCATTCCCAAGCTGTTGCCCCATTTTCCGTTCCTGTCGGCCTGTCCAGGGCTCCAATTTCTCCGCGTCTTAGCCCACACACTATTGTCTGCCTTTCGATTTCAGTCATCAGAGTGGGTGTAAAGTGGTATCTTATCAGCCTTTCCCTGATGACTAATGGTGTTAGGGACCTTTTCATATACTGTAGGCCTTTTGTAGATCTTCTTTAGAGAAATGTCTATGCAGATCTTTTGCCCATTTTCATTGGATCATGTGTTTTTTTTATTATTGTTAAGAGTTCTTTATATTTTTTAGCTACAAATCCCTGGTCCAATGTATGATTTGCAGTTTTTCTCCTAATCTGGGGGCTGCCTTTTCGCTTTCCTGAGGATACCCTTGGAAGCACAGAAGCTTTCTTATTTTGATGCTGCCATTTATCTTTTCTTTTGCTGCTTGTGCTTTTGGTGTCGTATTTAAAAAAACCATCATCTAATCCAAGGTCATGAAGATTTACACCTATTTCCTTCTAATGCTTTATGGCTTTAGCCCTTACATTTAGGTCTTTGATCCATTTTGAGTTAACTCTTGTATACAGTGTGAAACGGGTTCAACGTCACTCTTTTGCATATGGGTATCCAGCTACTCCAGCACCATTTGTTGAAAAGGCCGTTCTTTCCCCCATTGAATGGTCTTGACACCCTCCCTGAAAATCAGTTACCTGTGGATGTGAGGGTGTATAGCTGGACTTATTTCGTTGATCTATTTGTCTATCCTTATGCTATACCACACTGTTTTGATTACTGTAGTTTGTAGTCAATTTTGAAATCAGGAATTGTGAGCCTTCCAACTTTGTTGGTGGGCATGAACAAGGGTTAAGCAACTTGCTCAAGATCCCTAAACTCAAAAGTGGCAAAGCCAGCGCTGGAACTAGAGACTTTAAAATCAAGCCAGGCTTGGGGCATGTGGGTGGCTCAGTCGCTTAAGCGTCTGACTTTGGCTCAGGTCATGGTCTCAGGTTCCTGGGATCAAGCCCTGCGTGGGGTCCTGGGATCATGTGGGGTCCTGGAGTCATGTGGGGTCCTGGGGGTCATGTGGGGTCCTGGGGTTGGGCTCCCAGCTCAGTGGGGAGTCTGCTTCCCCTCTGCCCCCCTCCCTCTGCCCCTCCTCCTGCTCATCCTCTCTGTCTCTGTCTTTCTCAAATGAATAAGTAAAATCTAAGAAAATAAAAATTAAAAAAAAAAAATCTAGCCAGGTTTCTAACTGCTAGACCACACTGCATCTTTGGGTACTTATTTTATAGCATGCCCTATTGTACGATGAAGAATTAACCTAACCTAAAAAGAGGTCTGGCCTTCACTCTGGGCTACTGAGAGGTGATCTCTTCACCCCTTGAATGGTCTGCCTGACAGGAGTGTCTTTGCTTGCCTGGGGCTCTGGCCACAGCACAGCCTCACAGTGTGATTTGTGATGGGAACTCTGGAACAGTCGGTGTCCGTTCCACCTCCAGAGGACCCGGAACTAAAGCCAGGAGTCCAACATCCCAGAGGGATTGGAGACCAAATGTCAGCCACGTGGGCAGGATGTGATCAAGCTCCAGTAAAAACTCTGGACCCCAAAGGCCCCAGGGAATTTCCCTGGTTGGTAATATGCTGTGGGTTGTCGCACACTGTGGCTGGATAGGGGAACACCGCCCATGACTCTGTGGGGAGAGAATGACTGGGAGCTCCACGTGTAGAACCCTCCTGGACTCTGCCATGTGCATCTCTTCCTCTGGCTGGTTTCACTCTGTATCCTTTCCCTATAAAATAAACAGTAATCCCAAGTACAGAGCTTTCCTGAGTTCTGTGAGTCATTCTAGCCGATTATCCAACCTGAGGTCCTGGGGACCCCGGAATTGGCAGCCAGCTAGTCTGAAGTGAGGGTCGTCCCGGGAAGTCTGAATGTGTGGCTGGTGTCTGAAGCCAGGGCCCTATTGTATAGCAGCTGTTCCCTCACGCGGCAGTTTGGTGAGCTCCCTGGCAGGTGGGGTCAGAAGTCCTGGGCAGACTTGGCAGTGTGGGGGACAACACCCTCAACTTCGCAGTTTGGCTGATTCAGGGCACCTACGTTCTGGGGAGTGAGAGGGGCACAAGTAGGAAAAAAAAAAAAAAAAAGACTTGTTGCATTTCAGGAACGTTCCCTAAAGCCAGAGAGAGGGCTGAGGAGTTCCATGCAGGCCCAGAGTGGGCTGGGCTGCGGCTCAAGGCCACACCTGGTGCCTGAGTGCGCGTGTGGGTATATGAGTGTGTTTGTCTCCCCCCGCCCCCCACCCCCTGACCAGCTGCTCTTACTCCAGGTTCCCTGACTACCTGAGGTCTCATCAGCCCCTCCTGATCTGAGTCACGACTGCAGCTCAGGCAGCTGTCAGGCCCACCCACGGGCTCCAGGGAGATTGTGCAAGGCTTTTGCTGCAGCCTGTGGGCCCCTCCTGCGCCAGGCCCGGAGCTTGCCTCAGGGACCGGAAGGCCCTATAAGCTGCCTCATCCCTCCCCCTGGGCCCCTGCTGGCAGTCTGCTCTCCGCCCAGCACAGGTGGTGGAGGTGGGAGCGGCAAACAGAGAGTGAACTGAGAGGTACTTCATGTTCCCATCACATCTTATTTAACAATGTACAGACCAAATGAGAATAATAATATAAAAGTAATTTCTTGATAAAATTCAATACAAACTCAAGATTTATGAAAAGTTCTTAATAAATTAGGAATGGAAGGGCGTTTACTTAACCTGATATAGGGTATCTCCAATGGTTAATTCTGTCAACTTGGATGGGTCACAATGTCTGGATATTTGGTCCAACAGTATTCTAGATGTTTCTGTGAAGGTTGTTTTTGCATGAGATTAACATTTAAATCGGTGGAGTTTGAGTAAAACAGGTTATTCTCCACACTGTGGATGGCCCTCATCTAATCAATTGAAGGCCTTAACAGGACAATGATTGACCTCCCCCAGCAAGAGGGAATTCTGCCAGCAGACTGCATTTGGATGCCTTGAAACTCTTCCCTGAGTCTCCAGCCTGGCAGCCTTCCCTGCAGATTTTGGACTCGCAAAGCCGCCACGATTATATGGGCAATTCCTCACAGTAAGTCAGACACTAGCTCTCCCCCTCTGCCCTCCTCTCCCGCCCCCCTCCTCTCTCCCTCTTTCTCCTTCTCTCTGTCATATCTATCTATCTATATATGTATCTCCTGTTTGTTCTGTTTCTCTGAATAACCCTGACTAATACAGTATCTATTAGAAGAAGAAAAAATGCCCCGTCATCCAGGTTGGTGAAATCTTAGACTCATTTCCTTACAGTTCAAGAACAAGATCAGGATGCCTGCTATCTCCATTTCTTCGTAACCATTTCCTAGCGCTCATTACCTTTCTGTGGGCTGGGAATCCAGGCATGATGTAGCTGGTCCTCTGCTGGCAAGGTGTTGGCCGGGCCATCACTGGCAATCAGCTCAAGGCTCAGCTGGGGAAGAGTCTGCCCCCAAGCTGACACAGGTGGCTGCTTGCCGGACTCAGGTCCCCATGTGCTCTTGGCTCGAGGCTGCCCCCTGTTTCCTGTCACTGGGCCTGTCCACAGGGCAGGTCACAACATGGCAGCTGACTTCATCAATGTGAATAAGCAAGGAGAACCACAGAGAGGGTCTGAGGGACATTCTAGAGAAAGAAAATGACCAAACTCGATGGCAGATCAGATTCAGGGATGTAGGGGGGTTAAAGATCCACAGAAGATGCTGAAGGAATTTGTAGCCTAAAAGAAAGGCAGTGGTGAGCATGATGAGGTGCTTTAGAAAGACTTCTGGCCTTTGAGGCGGGCTTGGTTTGAGAAATTGTCCTGTGGCAAGCTACCTCTGAAATCATGTTGTCCGCCAGAGGAATGTGATCAGAACCACAGTCTGGCATTTTTGAGCCTTAAACTAAGGAAATGCTCTGGAAGACAGGAAAACAAATGCCGACACACAAAGTTTTAAAGAGGTCAGGCCCAGCTGTGGTTTTATTTGTTTTGTTTTGTTGTTGCTTTTTTTTTTAAGTAGGCTCCACACCCAACATGGGGCTTGAACTCATGGCCCTGAGATCAAGAGTTGCCTGCTCTACCAGCTCAGCCAGCCAGGCGCCCCACCAGCTGTGTTTTTGAAAAGCACAAGAATAGCAAGGAGGAGAATGACAAGGCGGCCAGAGCCCACCCAGTCAGAGTCCAGAAGCCTGACCAGATCTCAGACCTTAGCTCATCACTCTCACCCCCAGATAAAGAGAGTAACACCTGAGGATGTGATGCAACTCGTCCAAGATCACGCGACAAGCTCAGGACACTCACTGTTCATCTTGCGGTCATTATCCTTTTAGGAACAGTACCCATTTCCCTGTGAGGAAGGGCCCTTTCCTCCATTCTCAGCCCAGGAGCTTAGGGCTCTGACTCGCCACCCCACTCCGGGGTGGGCTTGTCGCTGGGCCTGGCCCTCAGAGCAGCATGCTGCATTTTCCTGGCTACAGAGACTGGCTTAGACACAAATAGGTGAGCAGCCAGAGAGACACCAAGAGACTTTTTTAGGACTACAGAGGTGGGCACTTTCTCCCACTGAACTTGAACCTGGGCAGACGCGAGGCTGAAGTGAGTGCCACCATCTGGCCATGAGGAGGGAAGAGCCTGTCTGAGGATAGGGGGAAAACAGAGGCCAGGCCCAGAGCTGGAGAGAGACGCTGTGCTTTGTCAACAGTGTCAAGTCCAAGTTTAAATCCGTCCCCCTCCTGACTGTTCATTCAAATACGTTCCTCCCCGTTCCCTCCATTTTTTGGCCTAATCTCACCTGAGTGGGGATTTTCATGGCCCACAATCATGAATCCTAACTAATATATAAGAAAAGAGAGTTTAATGGAGAGGAGAATGTTGGGCTCAGAACCCTGAGGTGGAAAAAAAAGTAGGCCTTTGCCTCTGGGCAATCAAGGAAGAATTTTAGGATCAGGTTTATACCCTAGAGTCACTCGTGCACGCATGTCCCAGGAGACATACATGAGACTGTGGCAGCACTATTTATGTTCCCCAAAAGCTAAATCCAAATGTCCATCAATAGGGGAATGGATAAATAAATTAGTGTTCTTGGACAGTAGAATAACTACACAGCAAGGAAAAATAATGAACTATGGGTTTGCACATTGATATGGATGAATCCCAAAAACACAACATAGAGTGAAACAAGAAAGTATGGTTGCATTTGGATTAGTACCCAAATACCCAAAACTTAACAGTATCTTATTTAGGGATATATACGTACGTAGTAAACATAAAACAGAAGTCAGGAAATTGATAAACCCAAGTTCAGATTAGTTGTTACCCTTACAGGGAAGTTATGATTAGAGAGGGGCACGCATGAGCTCCAAGAGAATAGGCCATATTCTGTGTCTCAAGCCAGGGCGGTAGGGGAGGTAAGTACTTGGGTATATGTGTTTTATTACTTTTTATGTCCTATAGGCGAATGTGTAGGATATCTATTCTTCGGTATTATGAAACACCACATAGTAAAAATAAATAAAAGAGCGAGGCTTGCTACCTGGGACGCCATCACAGCCTGCAGTTAGCAGGATCTGTCTCCACACCTGACGCGGCAGCTTTGTGTACAACCGAGGCGACCAGCGATGGCTGCCATTTATTGAGAGTGGCCCGTGAGCTGAACTCTTTGCATTTTCTTATTTAATTCTTGTGCTGGCCCAATGAGGTAGGTGCTGTGCTGAGAGTGAGGCTGTGCGGCTGGAGTCCGTGAAATCACTTGCCCAAGGCCACAGAGCCAGTGAGAGAGGTAGAGCCAGGCTCCCAACCCAGGCCACCTGCAGAACCCACGTGCCACCAAAGCCCATCTCTTCAGGCAGGACAAGCCCCTGATGATTCTCATTCCCAGTGCAGAGTTCTGGTAGTAGCTGGATCAGCAGGCATGTCACAAGCCAGTAGGCCTAAAGAATGTCTCATCCACCCACAGGCTCTAGAGCTGCTGAATCCACGGTACGACATGGGTCCTAACAGCCCAGGACTGAGAGGGGAAGTCAACTTGCTTGGGACTGAGGGAGTTCCTGGGACTTGGGAGCTTCAGTGCAAGAACACAGCAAGTCCGGGCACACCAGGAAAGGTTTGTCATCCTAACACCTGGTCATGAGCAGTAATCAAGGACAGAGAACAGGCGGCCCTACGTTGCACAGATGCAGGGAGATGGAGAAAACCCCACATGACTCTTGACCTTCAGTGTATTAACCCATCCACTAGTACAACATGACCTGGGCAATGTTTCGAGCTTCTTCTTCTTTTCTTTTTTTAAGATTTTATGAATTTATTTATTTGTCAGAAAGAGAGAGAGCACAAGCAGGGGGAGTGGCAGAGGGAGAGGGAGAGGGAGAAGCAGACTCCCCGCTGAGCAGGGAGCCCGATACAGGGCTCGATCCCAGGACCCCGGGATCATGACCCAAGCTGAAGGCAGACGCTTAACCGACTGAGCCACCCAGGCTTCCCAGTGTCTCGAGCTTCTACTAATGAGAACAATGTGTCCCCCTTGCGTAAATGGACAAGGGAAAGCAGGAGTGCATGTCCCCTCCTCATGGGCAGAGGGAGAGGTAGAAGCATTTGCCTTCCAGCAGAGAGCCACAGAAGGGAGCACAAGCTCTTCTCCAGCCATCCCGGAGAGGGGTCCGGTCTAGAGGGAACGAACCTGGAGTGCAAGCTTGACCAGTGAGGCGCCTCCTGTCGTAGAAGGTGTTAGAGACCAGGACCATGGGAAAGCTGGAGTCCAAATCCTGGTCTGTGTACCTTGAGATGCTTATTGGACTTGTTAGTCTGTTTTCTCATCTCTAAAATCAGACAACAATAATCGCTTCACAGCCTTGCTGTAAGGATGACCTAGAACACCGTGTGTGAAGAAGGTGCTGTCACATCGGTTATCTGGGTGCTTAATAAATGGGAGTTGTTATTCTTAATACGTTATCATTACTTTAGAGATGGACCTGTATCCTGACTGTGAGATTAAGACGGAGCCGTTTTATTTACATAAATGATCACTGGTCCAAGTAAAAGTTACCTGCTGGGTTGTGACACTTGATACAATGGTTGGTTTGAAAAGCCGGCAGTAACTTCTAAGAAGCATGGTTGCGGTTTAGGCAGCTGCCACCAGGAGGCTTTGATGCCAAACGACCAAAAAATAGGCCTGGCGTGGTGGATTGCAAATACATAGCGCATACCCATCACCGTAAACCATTCCACAAAATATGCCTTAAAACCCAGGTAGCAACCTTAAATATTAATTACTAACCAGCGCATGCATATACATTCAAGGAAGTACATAATTCAGAGGCCTACATAAAGCCTCTCGTTGAACTACTATCTCAACCCAACAGGACTAGGAATCTCTCTCTTTATGGCTACGATGTCCATCAACCATAAGATGGATAAATGAATCTTGGTGTAGTCATGTAACTGAATACTATGCAGCTGTAAAAATGAACACTGTGCGTCTACACACAACAATATGGATGGATTTCATCGACACAATGTTGAGTGTAAGAAGCCAGGCATAAAAGAATACTGAATGACTGCATTTA